ATACGTGTATATCTTTGCGAAACACATACTTATGAATGTTATTTTTGGCAGAGATAATGCATTCTAAAATATACTGGTCATAGACAGTTAGTATATCTAATTGTGAAAAGTTGTTTCTTACAGATGTTTTAGGTTCCAGGTTTAACATTATTCGCAAAGCCGTTTTTTGAAGTTTAAGTATTTTATCTAGGTTTTGTGCACTAGTGCCCCCATAGATTGCTAGACCATATGACAGATGTGAGTGTATATGAGCAAAATAAATACATTTTAGTGTTTCTAGATTACATAAAAATGACATTCTTTTTAAGGCGTATAATCCTGAAGAAATCTTTTTTACTAAATGAAGAACATGAAGATCCCAATTCAAATGGTTATCCACAATTAAACCTAAGAATTTTGTGAATTTTATTGTCTCTACTTGACTTTGCTCTATTGATATGGACAATTCCGGATTGTCTTTATTTTGCACTGTTGTTGAGAAGAACATTTTATTTGTTTTTCCATGATTTAAAAATAAACTGTTTTCTGAGAAATAGGATTGAAAACATTTTAATTGTTCATTACACACAATTTCAAGATCATTATAAGATTTAGATGATGTTATTAAATTTGAATCGTCAGCATACAGAACTAACTTGCTATTGCTACCATTAAAGCTTTTTAATATAGAGGGCATTCCTTGCACATAGCACAAGAATAACAAAGGCCCAAGAATAGAGCCTTGTCGAACTCCATGTTTGATGTTTATCATTTTTGAGTTATGTTTTAAGATTTTACCAGTTGTTTCAGACACAATCTCAACATACTGTCTTCTATTAGAGAGATATGATTCAAACCAATCTATATAACGATTTGTTATACCCAGATTTTGCAATTTATTTAAAAGTATTTTGTGTGATATACTGTCGAAAGCTTTTGTAAGGTCCATAAAAATACCAACTACTTTGTTTCCACTAACTATGGAAAAACTGGAACGAAATGTCCAGCTAGGTAACACCCATGCTAGAATTAAGTTACAGTATATCCGGGCCGAAACGAACGAACATGGTCAGTAACAAGGTAGAGCAATAACACCCAGCGAGAATTTTGTTTTCATTACATTCCCGCCAGGTTGGTGAAACTGAAGTGGGGGGTACACAGGTCTTTACTTGCAAAACTCACGTAGGTTTGTTCGTGGGTTTGTTTGGTGTGATCACTGATCAATTAAATTGACATTCGCTCTTAGTTATTTCTCAGGTTAGTTACTGTTTTGTGATTAAGTAATTTGTTTGTGACGAATATGAGTAAACAGGTTAAAACTAGTTATTTGTGGACACATTTTCAAGTGACTGACAATGTAAATAAAATTGCTACTTGTGACATTTGCGGACAGAAACTTAATTTTAAATTTACGGTCACGAATTTGAGAAAACATATCGAGAGGCGGCATACTGCTGTTGGATTGCCTCCTAACAAGAAACGTGCGTGTGCTGATGATACTCTTCAGAGTCCAAATTCGGCATTTCTGACAACCGCAGGTAACTCAAATAACTCAACCAATGAATCTCAGTTTAGCTCCAACATTGATGAGCCTGCACAACCGCTGGAACGTACTAAGGATGTACCGACAGGGAAAGTTCAAGCAACTCTAAAGACATTTTTGCCCCACCCCAAAAAGATTGGGGAATTACAAAGAAAACAACTAGACAGGCTCCTCTTAGATCTATTTATTAAGGACTATCAGCCGTTCTCTGTCGTAGAAGATATAGGGTTTAAAAATTTTGTGTACGCCTTAAACCCAGCTTACCAACTTCCTAACAGGAAGACTATAGTTAATGGTATGCTCCCTGCGGAGTATGAAATATGTTTCAATACTGTTCGTAACGAATTGCGATGTGTCGAAAGCGTTTGCTTAAGCACGGACACCGGGACCTCAACAAGTGTTGAAAGCTACATGGGAGTTACAGCCCACTATGTAACTGATAACTTTGATGAGCTTAAGTCAGTTTTACTTGACTGCGAAGTGTTGCCAGAGTCACATACTAGCGAAAGTCTTGCAATGGCAATTAAGAAAGTAGCAGATAAATTTAATCTTAGAGGAAAGATTAATGTGGTGGTGTCTGACAATGCAGCAAATATTAAGGGAGCTATTGTGAACGAGCTGAAATGGAAATATTTTCCATGTTTTGCCCACACAATAAACTTGGTCCTTCAAGACGCCTTAAAAATCCCCAAAGAATTGATTGATAAAATAAAGATCATCGTGTCTCACTTCAAAAGAAGTACAACGTCAAGTGAGACTCTGTCAAAAACTCAGAGAACTATGGGCTTAGAACCTAAGAAGCTCAAACAAGAAGTGGCCACACGGTGGAATTCCACCTTTTACATGATCGAAAGGATTGTAGAACTTAAGGACGCAGTGAAAACCACAATCGCGTTGATTAATAAAGACATTCCGGTATTGACTGAGGATGAGTGGACTGTATGTGAGGAACTGTGTACAGTTTTAAGGCCATTCGAAGATGTAACAAGGAATATGAGCAGGGAAACCTACCTCACAGGTAGTCAAGTTATTGGATTGACAAACTGCCTCATGTCAATATGCAGTAAAATGTTGCTAGAGAAATTTTCGAAACTAACCCAAAATGTAACTCAAGCGCTACAGACCGGCCTAATTTCCAGACTGGGAGGAATGGAAATCAACAAAACTGTTGCATTAGCTACTTTGCTTGACCCACGATTCAAGTTAGCAGTATTCAAGGACGACTCTGCTGCAAGATCCATAAAAAACCACTGCTCTGAGCTGCTTGCAGCAATTTGGAAAAACAGATACGAGAAGACATCACAAGAGCAAACTCAAGAGGTTAATACCCAGACGCAGACAAATGTAGCAAATGATGAAGCAGCAAAGAAGGAGTAATTTTCTGTATGGACGGACTTGGACAATATGATAGCATCAAAGAAACCTACAGGTAATAATAATAATAATAATATATGAATTGAAAAATTAAAAATAATATTAAAATCTATTGGTTAGCAAATATGGTTTGGCTATAAACCTTTTTGGCTACATTAACAACTCTATATTACATAATATATTAATATGCAAGTTGTTGTTTGAAATCCAAAAATAGGGCTATTAATACTACTAAATAATGTGGAATTGCTTTTTCTGAAATTTAAATTTTTATGCAACTTTGAACAAGCACCTAGGCCTACCTACATATTTATTTTATTTCAGGCACCAAGACTTCTGTTGCCATCGTAGAATTAAACCGATATCTAGATGATGACTGCATTGAAAGAAAACAGGACCCGCTTGTTTGGTGGAAGAAAAACCAAGTATTTTACCCACTTTTATCTTCTTTGGTAAAATCAAAATTCTGCACTCTAGCAACCTCAGTGCCCTGCGAGCGTCTTTTTTCTGCAGCTGGGAATATAATAACTGAAAGAAGATCAAGACTGAAACCTGAACATGTGCAAAAACTCCTTTTCTTAAATGCAAATAGATTTTTGTTAAAGTAAACCAAATTCGGTTGAAACAAACTTATCGGTACACGTTTATTAATCGTTAACATTTATAGGCTTTTACAATTTTTATTCTATATTTTTCCTAACTTTATAATATTTCATTTTATAAAGATTGTTAGGATTGTAATAATTTGTAATACTACAAATGTCTCAAACATATAGTTTGTGTTATGAATACAACACCCTTGCCTTATAATAACTAAGCTTTTATTATAATAGAGGATCACTCGTTCCAGTTTTGCCGTAATGAAACGTCCACCTAGGTAACACCCATATAGACTAACTTACAGCCCATCCGGGCCGAAACGAACGAACACGGCCAGTAACATGGTAGAGCAATAACACCCAGCGAGAATTTCGTTACATTACGGCCAAACTGGAACGAATAAACCACCCACAGAGAGTAACGCCAAGCTGGAATAATAACATTACAGCCCAGCCGAGCCAGAACGAACATACGGCCAGTAACAGGGTAGAGCAATAACACCCAGCGAGAATTTCGTTACATGCCCGCCGAGCTGGGGCTGGGTGTCACGGTGTGGTGGGGGAGGAACGGACCGGTAACAGGTTACAAAATTAACAGGTTACTGTAACCTGTTACCAAGTTGTATTGGAACGGTGTAACGCGTTTCTCAAAAGTAACGGTAATTCCCATCTCTACTACCAGGTGGAGAATTAGCTAGAACCCCCCCCCCAAATATAAAAGCTCCATCAAATAATTTATATAAACTTTTTAACAATGTAACATTAGGCTACTTATTAACTTAACTGCATAGGCCCAAAAAAATCTGAGTATGTTTTGTTTTCAGCAGCTTTAAGGTACATTTCCCTAAACGTAGAACACTATTTCAAAACCCACAAAATTATCTGGTGAACAACCTAATAGGAACACAAGGCAAAATAGTTGGCTAGATTAAAGGAAATGATTGTGCAGCAGAGTTGAAACTTACTAACCGCGACCACTGCAGTATACTAGGGGAACTTACCTTCTTTTAATGTAAAACAGCCAAAAACAAATACGACATAAGTAAGATACTGTCCATGAGGACATGGTCTAAGAATATTAAGTAAGTTTAAATAAATGTAAACAGGAATGTTGAAGCTCCGCCAATAAATACGTGTCTATGCAACCTACACAATCAGGGAGTGAGATAACTTAAAAACGAAAAACTGATCTTAAAGTAGACCTAATGCCTTTAATTGAAGGGCTTGAAACTGAAATTGTGGTACTAGTTGTCTTGAGGGTTGTCAATGTGTTTGACAATGATGAGTTAACCTAAAGGTTTACTAAAATTAATGTTTGTCAGGAACGAGTTTGTTACCAACAGGTTGACAGTAACATATATATTTGATATAACTTATGTAAAATTTGGTAGTGAGAGTTAACATTCCTGTGTTTGAAATACTTTCTTTAACTATGTCTTTCATATATTCAACTTAAATACTGTACTAAACTAGGACTCAACTTGTAAAAAATCAACAACACTTACAGTGCGGTGGTGTTTCACTCTCCCAAATTAACGTTTGCCTATGGAAATACACTTTATACTTTTTCTTCCCGATTGAAAAAGTGTTGAGTAATACAACATCCCACACGGAATTATTTGTTGTTTCCATATTTAGCGTATAAATCACATCGCACTGAAAATGCAACAGACATCTTTTGACATGGACAAAACTGTATGTACCGTACCTCCGTACCACCGTCGTAAAACGAACTCAACAAACTCAACTAGCTCAGCTGCTGACACTGACAAACTGAACTGACAAAAAAAATGAAAAGTGACACTAATTCCTTCCCTGCTGTTCAGTTCAGCTGTTGATGTCAAAACAAAATCTTTTTTTTTCTTGCTGAAAAGGTGGTCTGGGTATTTTTACCCATGAAACTTCAATGTTCTCTGTGGTTGTCCATTAGTAAACGATAATTCAATGGTGAATAGGTTTTTGTTAGTAAGAAACATAAATTTGGTATATCGTGGTGCATGTTGATTTTGTTAATTAAAAGTAGGATTCAGGATTCTAAAGATTTGACGGATTTCATGAAATGGAAGGTTAAGGTGACTCTTCTCTGCTTAGGGCCGATCAAGCAATGTCCTAACCCGAAACAAGGTTGGCCAAGGATGAAGCACCCAAAGGATTAAGAAAACATATATGTACTTGTTGAGCTGTATTTTGTGTTTTTATGTTTTGTGATATGGGTTTGCATGTTTTTATATTCTTTTCTTTATTGCTTTTAAGTATTTGTTTATTTCAGCGTGGATTTTTTCATCTGCAATTTTCATTGTGTCGGTTAGGTTCTTTGAAAAATGTTTGCTGTATTCTTTGGTCTTTTTAAGATAGTTTTCTCTATCGTAGTCATATTGAGAACATTGTAAAATCAGATGGTCTAGAGTTTCATTTGTTCCCATTGAGCATTTTAAACATAGTGGTGTAAATTATTACAACAGTTTGCTGTGGTAGAAAACTAGTAAAAAATTTTCTGCGTAGCAATCAACAACGAAACAACAGTCTCGGTTTCAACACTTCAATATACTCGATTTTCCTTTTAACCACTACAAAAGAATTCATAAATAAATTGAGAGTTTTAGGGTAAAAAGACACACTTTTATCCCATAAAACCCTGTCTCATAGGACTCCTACATTCGAACAACTCGTTCGGTTAGCCTACACGTAGGTTTAAACGTATGTAGATTTTTTTCGAAATTGAATCATTTAAAAACAAGTTGTCGTGCTTAAGGCCGAGCGTTTAAAGCTGCAGCAAACTACCATTATGGTAAAAAATTTGACATTTGACCTTCGATTCTTCCTAAACCAAAACTAAAAAAAATATTGCTGAAAACTCATTCTAAAGGTCCAAATAAATAAATAACATCAAAATTCAAAATAAAATGCTCACATTATTAGACGCACAGCAGGACCAAACAAGCACGCACGTGGACACATAAATATGTATCGGTTCGGGTTCGTGAAATCCACGACATAAAGGAAACAGCGACAGTATTGAAGTAAATGACGAATTATGTATTGAGGGGAATATGTATCTACGTAAACCGTGATAAGAATCGGAATCCCATAAACAGAAACCTTGCAGTCGCTGTGAGAGCGCAATCTGTTGCGCTCTCACAGCGACTGCAAGGTTTCTGTTTATGGGATTCCGATTCTCTGGTGTAGTGTTGTCTTTTCAAAAGTTTTTTAAGAACGGCCAAGTTTTGCCATTAAATATGGTTTGGTTTACTTGTATTTTTCCACAAATAAATACTTAACCTCGTAGCCTAATTAGGACAGTAAGAAATACCCTAAGCACTTATATAAACATTGAGAAAATCTTTATACATGTAACATGTATTTGTTATTATTTACATTATGAATTTAATAGTGGGAACATTTTAATTTTTCATTAAATCAAAAACAACAAATCAACATAACATAACTTCTTAAAATGGGCAGATTGTTTTACAAAATTAAATAGTTTAACCCGTTAACTTGTTTTTATTGGCTCCTTCTGAGCAGTCCGGGGAAGAAATTTGAGATCCATGAAAAAGATAACTTATGGGAAATAGAGGAATATAGTCAATATGCCATCACTCATCAATTCGAAGTAGCTGGAAAAATTAATTAACAATCGGATACAGGGGCTTTAAGTGGGCCAACTGACGCTCTTCACAAACATCGCTTGGCAATAAAATTCTCCAGTTTGAAAGTACGGTATATAGTGCAGTGCAGTAGCCTAAGCCTAAGTACAAAGATTCAGATGACAGCAGTCACAGAGCAATCCCAGGAAACCAAGGGTAGATGCACGTAAACTCAAAACTTCATAAAAATTTACCCATCGAAAAGAAAAGAGTTAAAAGGGAATCGCGTTCAGACGTGGAGACCTCTGATCGTGAATCTTGTGGTGAAAATTTAGTTTACAAAGAACACAACTTCTTTGCCAGCAAGTATATACATTTTATGGTATAAAATTAAACTGATATCTTTGCAAAATCGTACAAAAAGTGAACCCGATACTCATGATAAACACCTAGTGTTTCAAGCGAGCAGGAACTTCGAGGGAAGTGGCGTTCCTCGCCAGCTTTCATAGTCATTCAAACTTGGACTTGAACCAAGAAGAGTAAGAAAAAGTGTCGGCCGGAACATGCAGAGCATCAAATCAAATGAGCAGCTTAGAAGAAGAGAAGTACACAAGTATCGGATCCACTCATTTCACCAATGGCTCTCCGGTGTATATATGCAGTGAACAGTAACACTTTTCCCTGCGAGAACCACTACTTACATCATCGCTTTTCTCGTCAACCACCTAAAGAAGACCATGCAAAGTATGATTCCCTTGACTTTTACACTTTTCTACACGACTTGGTGATATTATTTTTCTTAAATATGCCCAAATAATCTGAGTTTATAAGTATAGAATCTGCATTACCGACACAATCTTAGTTGCCTTATTCGACCGATAGAGTTCGGGGCCTGCACTTCGACAACATAGAGCACATTGTATCACAACAGCCACTACGCTGAGGACCGAGCTCACTATTGTCGATTCCACAATAAACAAAGATTCTAATTTTCTGCGCAACCACTGATCTCCTAACAAAATAACAAATATTAGCAAGGTTAAGTTGCTCTACATGTCTAACTTATTTCGTCTCTGGACAATTTGGTTGAGCCAATAATAGATTTTACATCCTCCATCAAATTGTAGCCTATCAACTATAACTAGATAGGATTGTACGTACAGTAGTTTAAACGTTTCGTTGCGAAGACATTAAATGATATCCATAAGACATTAAAGCTATGACAAATTTTGTCATAGCTTTAACTAGTCGGAAACACAATTTAAATTGCAAACTATTTTGTTTTGAGGGTAAAAAATATTTTGGAAATCAAATCACCTGTCAGAAATGTTTATATTTATTTATTTAATACGGAAACATTATTAACATATGTAACTGTAAAACTGTATTCATGTTAATGGAATTTTCTTAAAACGCTTTAAACTTAACAATTACTTAACTTAACGCTTTTTTGTTAATATTTTGTTGTTATCATTACTTTTTAGAGGTTAACTGTAAGAAAGGACCATGAGGTCCTAAGTTCACCTCAATAAAGAAGGATTTTCATTTCATTTTAACAACCAAATTAAGGCTCAATGATGAGGTCATTGGGGTTATTCAAAGTCCAATGACCTTTATGTGCTGCACTTTGTAGACCTCTGACTCGTCTTTGGCTCTTTAACTTTGCGTTGTATTTTAGAATAAGCTCCAAAAGGGTCTCATGGTGTTTAACTATTGCTGTTACCGTGCCAAACATTTTTATCATTTACCTACTATTTTTATAAATAGATTCAACAAAATGTATAACGTACACAAAAATCGTAACTGCTGCTTACATAAATAAAGTCAATTACAATTGCAAGACTAGCTGCTCTCAGAGTATAAAGTATACTGATAAATGATATTCCCCGAGCAAAGCTTATTTAAGAATATGGTTTAATAACATTGTACAAATAATAGTTCCAGAGCATACAAATTTATTTATTCTTCCAAACGGTACATGCCAGTTTACAAAAAAATATTTAAGAACAGTTGAAGTTTAACAAAACATTAATAACATATGAAACTGAAATAACAAATCAGATTCTATGATGATATAGAAATCAATGACAAAAAATACAAAAATCAAAACATCTCATAACAATATAAATAGCATATATAAAATCTGAATGAGCAATTACTATACAACAAATCAAGAAGAACAGAGTGAATGTTTTAGGAACTACTAATAGACCTACTATAGGTTTCACCACCAGTGGCGTTGCTTGGTTAAATTCCAGGGGGGGGGAGAAGCCTCAAATTTCCCAACTGCTTAACATAGATTTCCCAACTATTTTTTTTTAGAAATCAATTTCTGTACTATTTTTAAAAATCTACAAATTATTATACTACACTGCATTAACATTCAATTCAGTATTTATAAACTTGCATTAACAAAACATAGCTAGTTTTACATATATACAAAATTTCTAAAACTTCTACCAATTCATAATGAAATGTTATGACTTCAAAAAACTTGAACAAGTAATGTTTCAAAAAACTTTACAAACCATTGTGGTAGCAGACGTAGCAGTGTAAAATTTTAGGGATATAAAATGAGCCTCAGAGTACAAAGTAGTATAGAAAAAATATTTTATTACAAAATAATTAAACTAAAATACTTTTAGAAGTTAAAATCAACATTTTAACATTCATAAAACTTACAACTAGGGTAGGCCTAAACAAGTTTGTAATGATGAAATATTAATATCAGTGTTGTAAATAATATTATTCTAGTCTAGAAAAGAATAAACCTAAAATAAGACTCGACTCGTATAAAATAAAAACATTCAACTTGGTTGATAATAAACTTATACATACAATAAAAATGTTAACCTTCATCTTCATCAAACTAGAACTTAAACAAAAATCTAACTTAGAGTGAAAGTCAAACATCAAATTTTAGGCTATTTTTTGTCCACGTAGATCTGTTTCAGAGTAATTAGTTGATTCATTTTTGTAAATCCTTAATTAGGAATGATACATAACTTGTGTAGATTTTTAAAATATATTCAGATAATAAATATTGCATTTAGGTTATTAAAAAATAAGAGTTTTAAAGGTAATACAGATTCACAAAACCTATCTTTAATGTTATTTTAATCTGCTTATTAGCAAGTACTCCGGTCAGTTAGCCTGCTCCAAATACCACAAAAAGGGTATAAAATATATTTCATGTGACTGACGTGAAAAATATTTTTGAATTTCTTGTAAACACTAACAAACAACATAATTAAACAGAAGGGCTACATTGATTGCACTTTCAAAATTCAAACTCGCAGACGAATCATTCAGAATCATCAACACAGGACAGGATCAAGGTAGCCAACATAGTCCAATAAGGAACAAAAATTCTCGTATACGAAATTCCAACAAGCTATACCGCTATTTGATTATTGATTTCTTAAAATAAGGCGTGTTTAGCCATGGTTTAGCCTTGTTTAATCAAAGTTAAATTAAATCTAAGAAATGTCAAGTTTATTTGTCCAAGTATTTTGTCCAAGTCAAAAAAATTTTTATCTTTGATGGATTTTTGCAAATATTTAATTTTTTTTCAGTTTAAAAATATATTTTTCTTGTATCTGACTTCCCAACTGTCCCAACTCGTGGCAAGGAAATTCCCAACTTTTCTCTTTCCCAGATTCTAGGGGGGGGAGGCTCCCCCCCCTACCCCCCCCAAGGCGACGCCCCTGTTCACCACCCTAAGTTGAGGCAGCCCAGACGGACGGACAGGGTCATTATCGGCCGGTCCCGCCCGACCCTTTATAATCCGATTAGTGATACTTCCGTGAACGCTCTATAGTTCCATAATTGTCATCAACAAAGTTAAATACCGATGTATAATTTTAGTCTTTTACATTAATAACGTCGATTTAACAAACATTTCCGTTTTCGTCCCATCAAAATCGGACAACGTTTACGGTTTGTGAGCTATAAACAAAAAACAAAGTAGTGTAGATCCCAAAATCCAAAAACCGTAAACATTGTCCGATTTTGATGGGACAAAAACGGAAATGTTTGTTAAATCGACGTTATTAATGTAAAAGACTAAATTTATACATCGGTTTTTAACTTTGTTAATGACAATTATGGAACTAGAGCGTTGACGGAAGTGTCACTAATCGGATTATAAAGGGTCGGGCGGGACCGGCCGATAATGACCCTGCCCGTCCGTCTGGGCTGCCTCAACTTAGGGTGGCGAGACCTATACTACTGATATAGCTGGTTGAAGGAGCTTACTGTCGTCAGACAGCCAGAGAAGTCAACAGACGCTGCAGTCTCTCCACCCTCTAAAGTCAAGTCAAGCCGCTGCTGTTGTTGCCTCAAACCTACCGAAGACAGCACTCTGGATCTGGTACCTCATGATCAGGAGTTCTGTATATCTGTCAAACTATGAAATTCAATATTGGTTGAAAATATCTAAATATACATTTCCCGATTGCATTACACTACAGTAAAAACAATCTTAAGGCGATCTGAGAATTTATATTATGTATTCATTGTGCACACAAAAACATTGGTTTGTTGTTTAACCAAGTTCGAATGTGTGTTGTTCAGACAGGAAGCATGCTCCTGTTATGAACCATATTTTTCATCATGTAACTAACACACAAAGTAAAGTACCCTACTAAATTACATATTCATGATATCTTTCTATACTCATCCAACCTGATTATGAAACATAATCTTATATCACCCACCATACACCAAGACTCAAACATTACAACCCACAATAATAGGTAAGTTAGTATTCTCATATGCCAATTTAAAGGTGGATTGAAACAGCATCAGTCTGCACATGGCAATTCATCTAAACCTCCATCTTTGAACAAGATTTTTACTAACTATTTTTCTAATTGCAAGTTTTCAGGATTGACACTTTTACAATTATATAGGTTATTTAAGTTATCAAATTAGGTAATTTAAAAAACAAATGTTGTTGGAGTGTACTGAAATCTATTTTATAATATTATTCAATTTTTGGAAACTGTAAATAACACTAAAGATATAGTTTAATAAATGTATTTTGACTAAAAATTAAGTTCATTAAATATATATATATACATATTTAACCGCATTCTCAAGTGATATTATAAAATGTACTTGGAATCACATGTACATAGAGTTAGTTTGACATGTTGCAAAGATACACTACATATTATAGATTTATCGATATTGATTTTGCCCCTGTTTATAGTTGTCTCACTAATAGTTTGATCTACCAAACCAAGGATTTACCAAACAGTTTTCCAGCTTGTGAAGTAAATACCAATTTGAATTAAACAAATAAAAATGATCCACACTGATAAGATGAAATATACAAAAGACAGGAAAAACATGACAGATGGTAAATTCAGAGATGGGAAATCAAGGGAATAACTAAACTATGTACTTATAGAAATAGTAATAATTGATTTAGTTTAACCAATTATCAGAATTAAACAACCAGGGACCATGTTGAATTGCTTCCAATTTTGATAATTGGTTAAACTAAACCAATTATTACTATTTCTATAAGTACATAGTTTAGTTATTCCCTTGATTTCCCATCTCTGAATTGACCATCTGTCATTTCTTTTCCTGTCGCTTCCAAATGTTATTGCACCATGTAGTCCTGTGACTTGTAATCCTGTTTTACAGTATATGCTCAACATGGGTTATTAAATTTCATTAAAAACATATTTATTATATTATTATTGCTTGAATAACCTTAAAGTAATTTACACTTTTCTATCAGTTTGGAGGAAAAATAAAGACAACTGATTTTATAGAAAATAATGACTATTTATTTACAATAATAGTTACAATAAAATCACCATTTAAAAAAAGGCGACTAGATTCTCCAAAACGAGAATAAAAAACACTCAATGCAAAACAGTCTTTAAAAGGACTATGGAGATATATTGACATATTTCTTTTAAACAACACAATATAATCAACATAACACAAGTTTTTAATCTACAGTATTTAAAAATATAAAAAGAAAAATATGTACATCTATATTTCTAGATTGTAACAAATAATGTTGAGTCAGCTTGGTAGGCTCTAGTTGAAAGGTAGAATTTCAGCATGTTTTTTTTTTATTTATCAACAATAGTTCTATCTTACTACAACACTTATTTGATGCTGCTTTAACTAAAGTATATTACCTGATATATAAATATATCCATATCCATATATAAATCCCAAAGTACCCATGAACTTTTGAGAAAACTACAAGTCACACCCCCATTAACCATATACTTTAAATATTCGTCATGACGAGAAACCTTGAGCAAAACTATCCATTATTTTATAAATTGCCCTTTAAGGTCGTAATTCCTTGCTTAAAAGGGAACTTTCCATATACCTAATGTTAAAAATACCTCAGCAGTACCGTAATTATTTGTATGTTACCGTATTCTTTCAATTTATTACCTTATCAGGTGTGATTATTTGTTTGTATTACTGTATTCTGTTTTGTTTATTTCAGCTTAACTTAACCAATCAATAGTTTTATTAATACTTATGAAGTCAAATGGGGTGAAGCCCGTGGGTAACAGCTATAGTCTTAATAAAGGTGTATTCAACCACACAACTTATTGAATGTACTCCTAGGGCTTTGCTCAAAAACTGATCAGGCTGTGAGAACAGTGCACCAAGCCATTCCGAACCCAAACCAACACAAACCACAGGCCTCTGATGGTTCAGCCTGCTTTCCGCATGAACCACTGACAGACTGATCTCACAACATGTATCAATACGAGCCACTGAGCACGGTCACAAGGACTTTTGACAAATCACCATGTCGCGAGAATGAAGCTTAACCTGACATAATTTGTAGTTCAATTTCAATCTAAGATAAAAACACCCAATATAATGTGGTTTCACAAAGAAAATTTCACTGTATGTCTTGAAAACTTTACGAAGGTTATTACATTTATTTTATGGTGTGTATGTTTCAACAAAATGACTTTAATCAGTAGAATAAATAGTAATTATTGGTGATTAACTATAGGTATTTTAGGGAATTTTCCCTTTAGAGAAAAAGTGATCACCTTAGCAAGGCAATACCTACACATGCAACTGATTTTTTTTTTTTTTTTTTTGATGGCCTGAAGGTACAAAAACAATATTTATTTAAATTTGCATATGAAAGTAAACAAGATAACACAAGTTACTGTAATCTGATTTTGATGAAGTTTGGGATGAATGTGTTAGACTGGTCTAACTTTAATGAGTTTATGAACCAGCAAGATTGAGTAATAGAAAAAAATGTTATGAGATTTTTTAATTTTTCCAAAAACTGTTAACCTTGAAACATAAAAATATCATAAAGAGCATGAAAAACTAACAGTTTAGTATGCTACTTGATTGTTCTATGAAGTTTGGCAACTGAGATATTCAAGTTCTAAAAACAGTAGCCTACATTGTATCTCATCTTAGCCTTATGGAATGGAGGAATTGTTGTAGTTTGTTTGGATATATTTGATTTGGATAACTTTGAAAATTTATTTATTTCATACCAAACTATTAACATTTTACTAAAAAAATCATTAGTTAACAAAAGAGAACAACATCATTTTTAAGCACAATAACAACTACGATAATGACAACCTTATCATAATGATATAATATGATAATATTTATCATCTACTGTATCTGATCACGGAAAATTTATATGGTCACCACCGCCCACACATCACAAAACTACACAAAGTGTTTTCTGTATTCTAGTAAGCATTATTTGTTTACCTAAAATAAATACAAAGTGGGACCCCATTACTAACAGGAATTGGGATGTGAAAGGGAAATATTTTTTGACCATGTGACTGTTGCATTCAATCCACTTAATCAGTACATATTGTTTTCGTTGGGTCTCGGTTTTACCCTGAGAGAATTTGGTAAAAACCTTGTTAACTTCTAGAGAAAAAGTGATGGCTGATTGTCAAGACCAATGTGTTGCTATGAAATTTTCTTCTCACACGATTGGCTGCAGAAACTATTGTAATGCTGAAGACTTCTTATGGGGATCCTGCTCTAATTAAACCCAACTCATTATAAATGTGGTCATTATACTATAGAAATAGATAAACTGATTACAAATCCTGTCCAGGAAACTCCTCAGACAAATGTCTTGGCAATGTCCTGTTAATGAAGACCATTGCTGAACAATTCATTGATCAACTCTGTGAGATGTTTAGAATATCATGGAGGATTTTTCCATAAGAAGATTTGCAGATGAGAAGGATTGCAGCAAAGCTTTGCATCTTTTTCTCGATGAGTAAAGGAAGTATACACCTCAGGTGGTTTTATTTGTACAGGCCAGGTAAAATATGGCAAGCGATAGAGGTTCGCCTCATTTTGCAACTAAAAAATGAGATTTCTCAGTTATTTATAATTCAACCTTTTGAACTTGGTGTCCTTTGATAGGGAATTTTAAATGCTAAATAAAAGTCTTCAAGGCACTTTTTCACAAAATCAGCCTTTTTTTGTAATTTAAGGTATAAAAATAAAAATAGCCGCCATTCTGAAGCCAAAAGTTTTTTTTAATTATTTTTTTGGAAAATAGATCATGACTTGATAAAATATTGTATACTTAATTTCATAAAGATATCTTAAATAGGTTTTGAGGTATAAACTTGAAACACCAAAAACAAAACGGCGGATATCTCACTAACAAGGCATTGTTGAAGAAATGTTATTCTTGATTTTTTTTTGTTTGACCATTAAACCTATTCTTGATTTTTTGTTATAACTTTTACCCTTGTATAAAGTCAATGGTACAACTTTAGAGAAGTGTACAGCCATAACAAAGAGCTCTTTTTTCTTCGTTCTTTTTAAGTGAATAAGAGTGGACAAATTATGCAAACATCTACCATCATAGTTCTAATATAAGGCACTACGGTTTTGGGTTGAACAGAGGTGGTGTTGGCAGCGCAATATTGTCAGTGAACTGAGCTAATAGTTCAAACACCTGATTGGATGGACACAATTCATTTTTCCTACAGGACAAAGCGGCTTCCTTGCACTGATTATAGTACGCAAAGTTGCTAATTGCTGCATTTACTTACTTTTGCCGCACTTCAGTATTCCAACCAAACAACACAAACCATTGTGCTCTTGTTAGACACTTAATACTTGATTGCAAATTTGCTTGATTGCTTTTGTTAGACACATGTACGCTTGAAAATAAGTTGGCAACACTTTAAGGTATGACGACTATGATCAGCTGGTGCAGTGTTTCGTTTTTTGTTCAAAACTTGGATTTAACCTAACCTAAAACGTGTTGTTTAGTGTTTGAAAGACTAATTATTTCTACACTTTATAGTAACTGTAGGAAAAATATAATGTGTAACACGAGTGCAAAGTGCCTTTGCTGCACTCGAGAAACTTTCCAAACTCGCCTGCGGCTTGTGCGTAAACATTTCTCTCATGTGCAGCAAAGTGCCACTTCGCACACTAGTTGCACAAATAACTATTGCATGTTCAATTCAAATCTTTAAGACAGCGATATATTTTAAGCTGAATAAGAGTGAAGGGTAAGTGTAGAATGGAGTGGGGGTGATCTGTGTTGATTTATTACTGACAAAGATCAGCTGTTTCTTAACCATTTATTAAAAGCCCTATGATCAAGAAAACAACAAGATTAACTGGATTATTTGTATCCGGTTTTGAACCATTAAAAGGTATTTTGACAACCTTTACTAATCTTGTATGCCCAAGACAGTAACATTGTGGTTACTAACAATAACTTCTGTTTGGTGTCCATTCATAATGACTATTATCATTGACTATTGGATACAGAAGAAGACATCCCATCTATATGGATCAGCTGTCGCCAATTTTTTACTAAAAAAGAATGTAGTTGTGTGAGCCAGTCACAGATTGCGCTAGTGTCTAAAACTCTATTTTGTACCTCATTTTTTGTTACTGACATAGTTGCTGGGTCACAACAGTTGCCATAGCTCATAATAAGTCATTCCATCAGTTTCACTTGGTAGAAACCATCGTGTAATCGGCAGAAATCAGTAATTTAGATCAGCGCAATCTGTAGGTGGCTCACATCAACTGAGACAAATTTGATTAAAAACCTGGCTACAACTTTAACGTGGCGATGGAATGTCTAGTTGTTGTATTAATAGTCAAAGCTATTACCTTCAATAACTAAGGGATTTTAGCTATGTGATATTGTAGTAACCCTGGGTATAAACCCTACCTTAAGATGTAGATTCGCCTATCTAAAAAAGGATAGGTGTTCCAGGTGATAAGTTCCTATTGTCTAACTACTCCTTTTTGAATACCTTGATTTGCCAACTAGAGAAATCTTATTTGTTCTGCTGCGTTTTTGAAGTTCATACTTCAACCTCGCCCAAATACCTTTGCACATATTCAGAGTCTTCCTATCAGCTACTTTACTTGTTTTTAAACTAGAGTATTGTTCTAGGATAATTCTTTTTGCAAGTTTACAATAGCCTCGCTGAATGAGGCTCAAGCTAAAATAGAGTTTGCACTGAGAGATGATGATTTGGTCTCCAAGCTTCAAAGCGATTCGCAGCTGTTCAACAGATATCACTCCAGCAGCTTTGGCCTGGAAAAAAATCAACGTTAAGCATATAAATCTTTGAGTAACATGTTGGCTGATATTGATAAAATAACTTGAAAGTAACCATTCACTGTTTAATTTTTACCTTTACAATGTAAATAAATTTATCGACAAAACTTTGTGGTGATTACAAGACAACAAAATGTTATAAAAATGTTTTTGATACAAGAATATCAGTGATAAGTGCTGACTGAGGAATTGCTGTATTGCATGGCAATTCAAACCGTTTAGTCAAAACATCTTTATTTTAGAAAATATTATAAGTTTGACAAAAATAGTTATCAGTATGAGTATAGAAATATTGGTGAAAAAATAATAAAAATAAAATATAAAACTCACCTCTAGTTATAGAAATACCTCTAACATAGGCAACTGCCTGTGAGTGATAGAGTTTTGCTAACAAGAAAAATTGTAGGCCTATAAAAAATAAAACAAAAAAATAGATGATGTAAATTTAAGAGTTGGAAGGAAAAATAATATTAAAAAAGACTCATATACAGTTTTTTTAGAGGTTGGTGCAACTTCAACAGGTAAAACCTATAGACAAAAAAAGGTGTGGTTTATATACTTTAATACTTTTCATTGAAATGGCAACCATAAAAAGTAGGTATTATAAGCTAAGTATGAATGGAGATGAGTAGCGCAAATAATCTTGTAGTCTTGTTAGTGACTAAGGCCGACATGTATTCCTTAGGCACAGCTGTTAATTAATAAGCTTATACAGCTAATGGCAACTAAGGGACCTACAGTTTTTAGTGGAATGCACACCACATGTTTTCCTTGTAATTAACGAATTGGTCTAATTATCAGGATAGTGCTGCGGATGGTTGTAGTATTCTTTAGTGCGGACGTTAATCCACACCAGGGAGTACCGCATCCACAGTGTATGCCTATAAATATCCACAATTTGTGACCTCCTAGTAGCTGGATTACAGGACGACGCCACCGTCCCAGTCTCTGACACATTTAGGGATGTAAATATAGGGCTAATTGTCTTTTCTGGCATTTCTAATAACAACCTTATGTAATAAAACTTTGCAAATTTTGCTTTAAAATTAAACTTCCCCATTTTGAAGTTCATTGATGGTGATGGTGAGTTAATGTTGTTCAAAGGTTTATTGCGGACATTTTCCATCTTGATGGTAAAAAAACAATAAACGTTTCCGGGTCTGGAATCTGATCCCGTCCTCATGTGGAAAAAAACCTAACTAACACATTACAACCAAAAATACACAAACGTCCAACCTAAGTTGGAATACACTACAAACACTTACCCTGGTGTTCTGTGGTGTGGTGTTCACTTTACTTACGAGTTCTAATATGACATTGATTTCACGTACTATGAGTGAAAATGAACTATGAGGCAAAACATTACATTAAATTTAAGACTATGAACTGAAGAACCTAACTAGATTATAAGCGTGCTTGAACTTTTTGAAATGATCTATTTTATATTACAATTTTGAACTTACACATTTTTCTTGTTCTTCACCCAGGGCTGAGAAAGCACCTCCCAATGTAGAAAGCCATGACATAGCATACTGTAGCTGCCTCAACTCATGGATTGTGTGGCACGCCATGCTGGCCCTGTTGAATATAAACATGAGTAGGCAATACAAAAATACATCCTTTTAGTGCAGGAAACATTGTTTTTTTCATTTCTGAACAGTTCTTGAAGAATCGATGACAGCTGATATCAAAGAAAATAATTGTTTCCCAAGATCTAATTAGAAAAAGGGAAAAACGGTCAGCTGATTTTCCCTTGATTTTGATTCTTTGTCATTTATTTGCAGAGCCTATAGTAAAATCAGCTGTTTTTACTGTCTAACAATCTAAATGTACATAGATTTGCATAAACTAGGTTTTTTGTGTTTATATCATAGGGCATGTTTATAATTCCTCCAAATAACTTATGTCTAAATATTTCTGTTGTTTTGTAGGTTTGCTACAACCCTTTTGCTTTTACTTCTTAATTAATAAATGTTAACTAAGAAATGAAGTAGACCTAGTTAAAATTTTACTGAGACCTATTGTTCTGCATGTGTGTATTTTTGTATCATTATAAAAAGTATCATTCGTAATACAATATTAGGTTTTATGTACCACTGTCAAATAGTCCAATTAAGATTTCTCAGTAGCTCAAATGTTTCGTTGCAATGACAACATTTTCAATGATTGCAACTCGTCATAAACACAATAAGTGGCGTACCAACAGGGGGGCGGTCTGCCACAGGCCCCACACTAACATAGGCCCCCAAATCAGGGCCGCAATCCCCTAATGGCGGGCACGGAGATTGCCAAGGGCCTCAGCCTAGGAAGGGGCCTCACTTGGGTCTCAAAAAAATGTTTTTTCTCTTGGGAAATACATTTGGCTGTTAGAATATAGGCCTAATATTCTGTTAGAATTACAACTTTACAAGTTGAACATATATTCTCACAATCGCTGGAAGTGTCTGCAAAGATCGTGCGATAGAAAATCACAACTCCCAGGGATAGCGGGTGACGATAATCAGCTCTTCCAAACACGAAAGATGTTTATGATTGCTCCGAGACCACAGAGACCTTCGTGATTTTACCGCGATTTCGGGAGACGAAGATGATGTCCTCTCAAATGCGAAAGTTGTTCAGGATTTCACCACGACCGTAATAGACGGTAATGTCCTCGCGATAGTGCAAGATGTTCTTTCACCGTGGACGTAGAATACGTTCACAATTTCTTTACGATCGTAGAAGATGTCCACGATTTTACCTTCACCATGACTGCAGGGGGCTCAACTATTAATTGATAGCGGGTGACGATAATCAGCTCTTCCAAACACGAAAGATGTTTATGATTGCTCCGAGACCACAGAGACCTTCGTGATTTTACCGCGATTTCGGGAGACGAAGATGATGTCCTCTCAAATGCGAAAGTTGTTCAGGATTTCACCACGACCGTAATAGACGGTAATGTCCTCGCGATAGTGCAAGATGTTCTTTCACCGTGGACGTAGAATACGTTCACAATTTCTTTACGATCGTAGAAGATGTCCACGATTTTACCTTCACCATGACTGCAGGGGGCTCAACTATTAATTGTTCGTGACCAAGGCTGATTTCGTTAGTTTTCTATTCAGTTTCTTGTTCACGATTTCCCTGCGATTGCGGGGGACAATAATGTTGTCCCCGCTTTCGCAGGAGATGTTATCGATTTCGTCTTAAAGGCAGGAGATGTAGAATATATCCCCGCAACCGCAAAAGATGTTCACTATTCCACCGTGAAGATAGGAAATGTTTACAATTGCTCTGTGATCTCGGATGATTACCCGCACCGCCAAAGAGGGGGAGACGACGATTATGACCTCGCAAACACAGAAGACGCTCACAATTTTGTCATTACAGAGGACAATATGGTTAATTTTTTCTGCGATCGCAGAAGTTGTTTGAACCAAAAAAATAATAGGCTAATAATAAAAAAATATCTCCTAAATTAAAAAAATCTTAAAAGGAGTGACGATAAAAAACCTGATTTGTGTTCTTGGAGTGATCGTGCTCATTACGCATCTCCAACTCGTAAAAACTTAAAATTTTAAAATGTTAAAGGAAAATTTAATTTAGCATCATTAATTTTTTTTTATAAAAAATAGATAACATTCAAAATAGTTGAAGTAGCCTACAAGAACTTATGAACACATTTAATCAGCGCTACAAAATGCATTAAAAGCATATATATATATATATATATATATATATATATATTTTAGTTCTTTTAGCTGTTTAGGTTTACTTTTTTAATACATATAGCACCATTTTTAACAAAATGATTTTAAACAGGGTACTATGGTGGGTATTTATTATTTCTTATTATTTCACGTATGTATATATATGTATGTACGTAAAAAATGCCCCCTCCTCTCAGTTGCCCCAGGCCTCCAGCTATGACAGTACGCCACTGAACACAATTAAGTTAAAACAAACAGAACACAAACAAAAAAACAGCTCAGCATATACAAAAATTTAGATAATGTTACAGTATCATTGAATTAGTCCGGCAGGGCAGGGTTGGAAGCAGACTGGAGGACTACATCACGTCACCTCCTCTTCTTTCATCATCACTGATGTTATCAGATTCAGCCACCTGCTTTTTACTGTAGAATTGTATTGCAAACCGATGAGAACGGAACTGTAGCTTTTCTTTGATGATGTGGTCTTTATACTGTTCGTCATTGTAAATTTTAAAAATCTCAAACTGCTCTAGTATATCTAGGAAACCTTTCCCACAGACATGTAAAATTTCTAAACCATCGTCTAGGCTGCTCATTGAATTATTTGAGTCAACTAGGTGTTGGGCAAAGGCTAATTTCTGTTTAGACATTTTAGGAGTTGGCCTATGTTCCTTGTACTGAGTTTTAAATGCAAAACATGTAAGCTACTGAGCAATCTTTATCTAAAATTTGGTGTAACTGTGTTCGGCAATTTAAACGCGCACCAGAAAATGGCAATTTAAGTAACCCTACTTTTGTAATGAAATATAGGGTGCCGTAAGGAACTTTTGTAGAAACTGTAAAATTAGAATGTTTTAATATATTTTAACAATTTGTTGTTTATGATTTTAAATTGCTTAACATGTGGTTGAATTAGGCCTTAAAATATGCATGTTTATTAAAACAAGGAGATATACGCATAGGCCTAATTAAAATTTGTAGAGAACTCCACAACTACAGTGATATGCTTTGTTGAACAATTTTGTAATCATGATTTTTAGTTTCTACCAATCAGTTCTGAGAAGTAGCAAGTCATAATTAATTTTGGATATTGCAAGCAGTCTTCACATCCTATTGAACAAATTTGTGACATTTTTTACGTATGTTTCTTGCAAGGTTATGTTGGAATGCACTAGTTGACTACTAGTAGCTACTAGTAGTAGGCAAAATGTTTACTCTTTGTTTTAAAGTAACTCATTTTGCAACTGACATTACCTTTCCTCGATTAAGTGTTTACTAAACACCGGCTTCGATTAAACCAAAGAGAATTTTATAAAACTTATTTGTTTATCATTTACTCTAATGAGCATCAACTGAAAATGTTATGCTTTTTTAGTTTAGGCCTAAGTTATTTAGCCAATGTGTTTCTAACTATAATGTTTCGTTTCAATAATCAGTGGCAAGTGGGTAAATGTACAAGCAATGAACTACTAAACGGTTAAAGTGTCACTTGATTTATGGGTTGAACCTACGACTGATTTGGGGGAGGTTTGACAAATTTTGGGAGGAAATTTGCGCCATTAGCCTTAGGGAGGATGGGCACCCCTGCTGATGAGAATCCCCAAAATTCAATCCCATAATGCAGTATTGAATAAAAATAGACATACAGTAGAACCTCTTTAATCCGAACCCCCGTGATCCGAACGTCCACTAATTCGAACACCTCATTGCTGTACTTTATACACAGTACAGTAGTTCTATATTGTATACTGTATTTCATGTACAGTACTGTTTATTCACTATGTTTACTACTGTATTAAAAAAACACTGCATTTTACTTTATAGCCTAAAGCATTTTTTTACTTTTCCCGTAACAATTACGATCCATTTTAGCCTTGTTTTAGCTATTGTTATGTAAAGACAACAATATTTTCTGTAATCCAAACTATTCAATAGTCCGAACCACCCCCGGTCCCAATTAGTTCAAATTAAAGAGGTTCTACTGTAATACATCAACGTGTTTTCATATCTAAAATGTTTCTCAAACAAAGCATTTGGAAACAGCCGGAATTGAGCTTATTTAATATATTTTCAATGTAATAACTTAGTAGGCCCTAGTAAAAAAGTACCCTAAAACTTATTAATATATCAAGCTTGGATTATTTACCACTTTAAATCCAAAACATGACTTTGAGGTTGTGATAGTTTGATTAGGCCTACCATCTTTGACAACTGAAAATAGATACTCTGCTGCCTATATAATATGGACCATTGCTGTGATAAATGTTTGGTAACGAGCTCAACATATTTTTCTGAGTGCTGTAAACAGAAGAGAAACAAAGAGGTAGCATAACCATCCATTGACACATATAATCTTTTGGAAGGTGATAGAGAGGATCTAGATTGACAGATAATCTGGCGTTTGCCATTCTCATACAACAAACACATACCATCCCCACAATCAGGAATGATTCCAGTCTTGATATTATTTTTTTCAATGGGCCTATCAGAACTTTGCTCTTCACAAATAATGTAAGGTGAGATTGGTTTTCCAAAGTATACCTCAACAGCTTCCCATTGGATATTACAATCACTTGAAAACAAACAGAAACTATCAGAACGACAAGAATTATTAATAGAAACCTTGAGCCATGTGAGATAAAACTTTGATTTACCCATCTATGCAAATCTAACCTCTAATTTCAATCCTAGGTAACACGAGCAAAGACAATATGTAAAATGTAAATCGTATGATTTGGCAATTGAAGACTAGACTAGAATTATAGTATGTTAGCGTTACAATGAAAGAAATTCATAATCGATTTGATGATTTATGATAAACACTAAAATCATAGTGAAGACTTTTCAAAATAACCCTAAGGCACAGGCAAGCAGACAGCACCGCACAGCAGGCACACAACAAAACAACCACAACTACAAACTAAAACAAACTAACAAAATAACAAACACTACAGTAACAAACAAACCCAAACACCCGTCAGTGTTGCCACCCGGCACCCACCACGTTGTTGCAATTTTACCCTAAAGGCGGGCTAAAATTACCCTAAATCTACTTTGAGTTGCCCTTAATATTACCCTAAATGTTATTATTTATGTTTTTTTTTGCTAAATAACATTGTTAAGTGATAAAAAAAACAACATAAGGGGGTTAATTATACTAAATAATGTTTCAATATCAATTAATATAGGTAAAATACATAATTCAAACATAAAAGAATGATTTTAATTTTGTACATTCGCTATGTGCCTTGAAAATGTTCACTACTTCACTTTACACAACACTGGCAACAAACAAATTTGAGAGCAAAATCACTGTTCAGGATCAGGTCAGCATGCTGCAATATAGTTAAAGTTGTTTAGAGACTTTGTTTAAAATCTTTTGGCTGTAGCCTAAGACTATTACATGTAAAAATAATTAGAAGACGACCTAAAAAAACGAACAAAACATAATCGATAGTCTAATTCGACCAGCATAAAACAAAAAATATCAAATCAAAACTATCGTCATTTTTCCATTTGTATCGCATTGATAGTCAAAAGTATCGATCTATAACTACTCTTCCTTGAACAGTTTAACAATCTTATGATTTTTTAATGCTTTCATCAATAATAATTAATTTACACAATCAGTAAAATAATCCCGCCTTTATTGTAATCGACCAATCGACCTCAAAACCGTGATAAAAATAGCGAGAAGTTATGAATAATAAGAGGTTGTATTAAAACCTGTTGTAGAATCAAATACAACCGAAGCTATAGCTAAGTTCGAATAATACGGTAAATTCATCATAGAAATATATTATTGATTACAGTAATCTTTGATTTTTAAACTATTTTTTCATGTTTTTAGTTGAACTTTCATTGTTTTGGCAAATTGTGATTTTATCCTAAATTCGCCATTACCATAAACTCTACCCTAAGACCAGTAAATTTCCCGAAAAGGGGTAATTACCCTAAAAGTGGCAACAACAGTTGAACAGTTCATCTAGTCAGTTTCCTCGTCAGCGGCGCCTCCGCCACAATGTTCGCTTTCACTTTGACGTTCGCAACAGTTCGTCTAACTGCCGCTAGGTGTCTCCCGAGTTGAATTTCCAGTTTTAACCCACCGTAGTTTGATTTATTTATCTATATTATTAATTCTATAAGGTGAAACAAAAAGCTGAACCTTCCCAAACAAATAACCCAACATATATTCAAAACGAATCACGGTTTTTTACATTTAAACCAGTGTTAGTATGCTGAAAACGAGTTTTTAATTGCAGATTCTCGCAGTGACTTTGTAGTAGCTGGTACATGACCTCCCCAATCCTAACCAATTGTTCCATTCTATTGCTCCATCTGGATCCAATTCTAGATTCAAGTTGTTTTATTATTTTAAAAGCCGAGAGTCGTGTCTCTTACCTGAGACCGTTGATTGGCTTCAAACTCTCAATCTCAATCCTATAGTAGTGTTTCCACCTCATTATGGCGATTTTACCATAAAAATGGGCTAAAATTACCCTAAATCTACATTTATTTATTTATTCCAACGGCAAGATCACCAATTTACAATGTGGATTCAAAACATCAAAAGCCTATGTGGTAACAACATGCATTTTAACAGAAAACTTAACAACTACAGTAACTTAAATCTATGGCAGGAGCAGAGCAACATTGGTAACAGAAATTATAATCTTGACTTTGTCGGTCACCGATGCAGTATTCAAGTATTTACCATAGATTAAATATACTCCTTTAGTGACATACTCGGCCCTTTGTGTTCGTTAGTCTATGCCTTAACTTATTTAATCTGCAACTTACTTACTTGTAGGTTGTAGGTAATGAGGTTTCTTATTCACTTATTAGCCGCCCATCGTTCTTAAGTTTCATGTTAATGCTGTTTGGAATTTGGTGCTCTATTCCGTTGATTTAATGAGTGATGATTTTCAGAGATGTGAAGTGTAGGTTTATTTATTTATTTCAATGGATATGAATGCTACATTATACAATCAAGTGCAATGGCTGGGTCATTACAGTAGCGATGATTGACCAGGGATATCTACAAAAATATATAATCTTATAGGTTTTTGGGTTAGGGTTGGTGGATACTTCTTAGATTTAGTACTTAGATTGGATGAGATACTAAGGTTGTATTCCCGTTCCAAAAAGCCATAGTTATAGTTCATTTATAAAATAGCTTGAGATTTAGGAACTTGTTGGTTACAAGTGTCCTCCAACTAATTATTGTGGAGAGGAAATGGTCAATTAATCATTTTAATGCATTTAATCACACACTAACAATTCGGTTTGTGGTTTAAGCGGTATCGTCTTTAAAATTACTAATTTTTGGCATGGTGCTAGTTTTAACAAGATCGCGATCGTCCAAATACATGCATTTTTCTAGTATCGAAACGTGTAATAGAATATAAAACAAAATGCATGAAAAATTAAACAGCAAATAGCAAATATGTAGGTACTGTAATTACCGAGATTTAAACAAGATTTCAGAGAGGGGAAAAATTGCATAGAATCTAGTTTTGACTTTTTCTTACTTTCACAAAAAATATTACCTCCTTTTAAACTAATATAAGTAATATAATAGATCCTCGAGTAGTTTCAATGGGGGTTTTTAATACCGCGTGTTCCCAAATAGTTAACATCGTACTTAATTGAACAATTGAACACATGGATTATGCATCAGTGTCCGACAAAGTCGGAATATATTGCGTCACGTCCCACAAGGTCGATATCGCATAGCGTCGACATGGAATTTTGACGTTAATGGATGTCAAAATTACGGGACTAGCCCTTAAATACACATTCCTTATAGGTTATTATTCCAAAGGTATATACATATTTATTTGTATACATTTTAAGAATATTGACAAATAATGTTATCTACTCTTTTGGCATCACTGCTGCTGTCGTCTATTCTCTATTGTCAAATTTCCCTAGTCAAAAGTGTGTCGCTATTTGACGTTTCTTCTTGTTGAACTTCTAAACTGTGTTCTGCTTTGCAACTGTCACTGTCAAACTCATCACTTAAAGTCCAAGTCTCCTTTTGTTAGTGTTATTGTCAATATGCACATTGTTATACGTCATCCTGAAAACTAAGTGTTCATCATCTGACTAGGAAATCTACTCTCTGTCAACTCCCGAAGGTTTATTCATAAAAGTTTGATTTCAGGTAAGAGTTTTCATACTAAGTTAGGCTACCTAATGTCACCAGGTAACTCTTTGCACTTAAAATGTATGTACAAACAATGTACCAAAAAGTCGGTTAAGTACAGTTTGTAATTATTTACAAATTGTATCTGAGCACCAAATTTAAATATATTGCCTACATTAATTAATAATAAATGTGTAATGGAAAATACATGAATAGCCAATAGCTTAAATTTGAATTTGCTAAAGTAGGAACACTGTTTTAAGTTGGTTTTGAAATACAAAATTGCATAATTATATAACCTGGTCTATTAACAGTCTTTTAAACTCAACCTACTTAACCTAAAATTAGGGTAGGCCTACTTTAAGCCAACTGACAGGACATGCAATAGTATTAGGAGGTAGCACAACACATTTTTAAACATCTGCATAACATACTTGGTTTCTGTAGCCTAGTTACAATTAGTTTTTGTCTCAAGCCATATAAGGGAAGCTCCCATTAGCAACCAAAATTTGTTGCTACCATAGCAACTAAAGGATGAACTGTATGCAGCTGTATTAAAAAACCATTTAAGCTTCAATGTGTACACTACATAACACCTGAAATGTGCTAAGTTACAACCCGGAAGTCCAGTTTAGAACTAGCCTACGCTAGGACTGGGCTTTTGGTTGACTAGTGTTGCTAAACAAGTGTGCAAGTGGTGTAGGTGGTTGAGTCTGATCGAAGGCCAGTGGTCAAAGGTAGGATATATTCAAGTTTAAATATAGGAAATTTTGTTAATGAAAAAGAAATACCCCTGCCGCACAAACCTGCAGATAAATTATAACTAATCAAAACAAAATTGTAAAGATAATTTGGCACCCTGGGCTATAGTCCATTCAGCCTATATACAAAGTGGGGACTGTCGGAACTGAACAAGACCATCCAAAAACACATGAGTTGATCCAAAAGTACACAAAGAGTAGTGTCGTCCAATAATTTTTTCCCGTTTCTGCTATTGCAAACCTACACACACCTAGAAACTTGAGGTGAGGTTTGCTGAAACATGAAATATCCTTTCTGAATCCACCCCCAGGGGGGTTCGAGGAGGACTCTTCAACTGCCACTTCACGAGTGTTGCCAAGCGTGCTTATTTCCATAAGCTAACATGCGAATAATGTTTTGCTGGAGTAGTCGAAATTCTTCCACTGCACAACACAGTCCGTTGCTTCCATAAGAGGTGCCAAGTGTTAGCTTTAGTCAATAGGGCTGGTGGATGGCCTAACAGTCTCTCGCTTGTAGACACTACCAGCCTGGGTACTTTCTGGCATTCAGTAAAGTTTAGTCGCAAACCATCATTCAACTAAACCTAATCAACAAAGTAAACGTAGACAATATTGCTATATTTAATGGGCAAAATATTTGGCAAACCTGTTTTGTAATATATAGCATGGGAAAGTCTATGATAATTCCCGATCCACCTTTGTGTAGATACTTCTTTTAAAGGGAGATTCAGTTCCATATGTAAACTGCAATATAATCAACACCAAATTCATGTTAGCCACGAGAATAAGAATACAGTAGGCCTACTTAATTGCTAGGTACCACAATTTGATAGTTGTTGTTGTAGTAACCAAGGTAGGCCTATATATATATGTAAGTTTCATAGTATGTTCCAACTTTTCGGTTAATTGATGAACATTAAGTATAGCCTATCTCAAGAAAAGAACCCTCGCTGCAGCAAACTTGGAGACTACGAACATTTCCATTTGACTAATCAGATTTTCACTAAAATATTTCCTTAAACATGTCAAATATATTCCTTATTTTTATGTAACATCAGCTTTAAAGGATATTTAGGGTTGCCACTATAAGGAGTGGGAATTAAGTGTGTTTTAATGAAATTGTATTAGCTTGGTATGAAACAAATAAATTAATTTACTGAATGTACGGTATTCAAAATATATACCTATCCATAATCAATCAAACTACAACAGTTTATTTAAGGTCCATAAGACATGGAAATTTCAACTTTATAGTTCTTTGGAATTTCCTTCGTAACCGTTTAGCGCACAAATTGGAGCACATATGAGTGAAAATTTAAAAACGTACGTTTTCATGTCCCTGGCCTTTTACTTCGTAGATACTGGATTTGTAGTTTATTATTATGTGTTTTAATATTTTTTGGGATGGGGGCAACATGTTACACACATTTATTTGGTTTTAAATAGGTTCTAGGTATTTTTTCGTATTTTTAAAGTCTCGAAATTCACGACCATGACGTGTCCCTAGGGTACATTTTCCAACTTTCACGCTGTTTTTGGACTAATTATTCATGCCGAAATATATAAAGCCATATTTTTATGTCATCAATGGTTATTAAACTTACAAAAAAGGAGCATATTATAATTTTATTGTCATTGCAAACTGGCTACCATGACAAAATAAGTCTGTCCCTCGATTTGGCGTCACGACCATTTGGGAAAAAATTTCAACTTTGGAGCACGACAGTGGCAAGCCTGGCGTCGATGGAGTCAGTTGGTTTTAGAGACTAGTTCGGGCTGTACGTCAGGATTGTAATGCCGGTTGTTTCGAGTTGAAAGGAGGAATTACAAGATTAATAAAGGAAAGATTGTGTTTTTTGTAATTTTGGTGTGTCCATGACCGTACGTAGTCATTCGATGAAGTAGACATGGTGTTAATTTTTGTTTATAAGATATTTCAATTGCTAGATTAACCTAGAAGTTCACTTTGTATCCTTGAACATGAGGTGCAGGGCTACCGCCAGAACAGAGCCAAATAACACGTAATTTCACGACCAAAGTTTCACGACCATCGCGGTTTTTTCACGACCAATCCAGCCTTATGGATTATAGTGTGTTTGGTCGTGACAATAACTTTAATATAATTGTAATTTTAACAGTTTAGTCCAATTGAAACACTTATTTTCATTATAACTAACAGTATAATTGAAGGATTGTTTAGAAAGATTTAGATTATTTCAGAAAATTCACGACTGTACCGCTTGTCCCTGACCATCACGTTTATGATTTCTATCATAAAATTAAAATATTGTCATATTTCAATGTTTTATACACAAAAGAAGCACACCTCTATACAAACATAACGATTTTTCGGGTCTCAGGTAAGTTTTTTTCGGAGTTATACAAACTTAAAAAGATGTTATTGGCTTTTTTTTTAAATTTTTTGAGTTTTTTTATTTTTTCTAGAAAGACCAAACATACCAAAAGCTCAGTGACTTTTTTATTGTATAATGGTCATAAAAGTAAATTAGTTTATAGCAAAACATAGTTATAAAAATAATATTAACTATTTTTAATATTCATTTAAACGTCTGTTATGGTCGTGACAGGATTTTGTGTTTTTCTACTAAAGATGCTCTTTAAAAAAAAAAAATACCAAAGATATTGCGTTACCATCGACATTTTATGAAACTTCAAATGTTAATGAAATAAAAATAATAATAAAAGTTTTGAATAAAGGGGAAACAATTTGCAAAGTGCTTTTCCTGAAAACGTACGTTTTTAAATTTTCACTCATATACTAAATTAATTACCTATAATTTTTTTTTTAAGCTCTATAAAATGGTTTGGAAAGAAATTGCAAAATGTTTAGTTTTGAGTGTTGAAAATGGGGACAATCAATCTCTTAGTCTAATAATGATGGTTCGCAAATTTATTAAAATAGACCTAGGTTTACATGTTTGTACCAAATTTAGTGAAAATCGGATGATTTTTACTCGAGTTATTGTGCTAACGAACATATATATTTATATATGAATTTGAATGGGTTGTTGGCCTCTCGGTGCATCAGAACAAAAAAGTCATCAGGAAGCTCACCAGCAGATGCTGGGGTGCTAACCCTAATGTCCTCAGAACCTCAGCTTTAGCGATCAGTGTGTCGGCTGCGGAGTAGGCTACGCTGCACCAGTATGGAATGCATTGTCACATGCAAAAATGGTTGACATTGCAGTCAACAAAAGGCTGGGATTGTAACTGGGTGTTTGAAACCAACCCCAGTACACAAACTCTATCCTATCATAGGGATCGCCCCTCCATCAATCCGACGTGATGTCGCTGCCGACGCAGAAAGGACTAAGCAAGAGACAGACCCTCGTCACCCATTACACGGCCACCAACCTGCAGAGCGACGGCTTCGGTCCAGAAAGAGCATTTTATTATGGACACGAGTCCTGGATGGATTACTCTCAAGCAATCGGGTGGCAAGGTGGGAGGCCACGTTGACTAACCTTCTCATACCAGCCAGGGAGGAACTGGCTCCTGGTGGAGGCCTTCATTACACGGTGAGGAAGACCCTAAATCGAATTAGGGTCGAGGTACCAAAATGCAAGACAAACATGCAGAAATGGGGTCTCTTACCAGACGAAGAAAACATCTTGTGCGCGTGTGGTGCTGTTCAGGATCCTGGCCATCTGCTGATCTGCCCACTCCTAGACCAGTCTTGCACATTAGATGGTCTTTTACATGCGAATGACAAAGCCATATCGGTAGCTAATATTTGGAAAAGCGAAGTCTGATTTCCGGACACGGAAAGTAAGTAAGTAACAAAAAAGTAAAGTGGTCCAGGATCTAGGTCTTACCATGAGTTCTACGGTAATATCTTATTCCCTAAATGGGATATTTGCCAACATTACCTGTATAGAAAATTCGCTAAAAAGAAAAAAAGTAGTTATGAAAAGTTATAAATTAACTCCCTACTAAAGGATTTTTGCTTTAGTTCTCAAAACTATAAAGCACACAAATTTTAGTAATTGTTTATAACTTCTCAATCTGTTAATATTTTCTATTAAAATTTTTATTACGAAAAATTAGTACGACATCTTTTAAATTTGCCCGTCTGTTTAAAAGTTTTGAACAGATTATTTACTCTGTTTTTGTTTAACAGGAAACTATCCTATGTGTTTCAACTCAGTCATCTTTTTGTAATTTTGTTCTTGTATTTTCTTTGTTTCATGATTTTTTAGTACCAGTACACTTGCAGTATTATTTATGTTTACCACA